CGCTTGCGCCACCAGGCCGGCCCCAGATCTTATTTATTTTAAATAAATAAAGCATTGCAGATATATTTTAAGCCTCCTAGATACTGCTCAGAAATGCCATTCTTCTCTCTTCTAAAAACTAACTGCCACTTTGTATTTATCAATGGTATATATCACATTTGTATACCATTACTAAATAGACTGCATCTAAATGACAACATGACAACTACATCATTCTCTAACTTGCTTTGTTGCATTAACAACACGATTTTGAGATTCATATATGTTGATGTGTGCATTCATGCAGTTTTTTATTTTTACTAGGGAGTATTCCATTGTATTAATAGCCTACAATTCCTTCTCCTACTGATTGATATTTAATTTACTTCTATACAAACAGTACTGCCGTGATCATTAATGCAATTTATCCTTACTCAAATATAGCATAGTTTCTATAGTTAAATTTCAGGTTGTAGAGAATGCACATCTTGAACTTCACTAGGTTTTATCAATTTCTATTCCCACTGGCAATGTTTAAATGATGTTTCCACAGCCTCACTAGTTGCTTCCATTGCCACACATGTTCGGCACCACCTAGTATTGTAAATGTTACCAAAATAAAGGGTGTTGAATATCAGTTAATTGTAGATTTAATCTTCGTTTCCTTGATTAACGGTGAAGTTGAACATATTTTCATAGTTTTATTGGCTACTACCACACTTACTTTTTGACTAATTAACTGCTCCTATTCTTTTCCTCTTTTCTACTGTCTGATTCATCATTTTCTTATGAATCACGGGAATTCTTTACACTAAATCCTTTATATTAATCCTATGCTGGTTATATACGTTTTAAATATCTTCTCCAAATTTTTGTATTACTATATTTAATTTTAATATTGTCAGATGTACTCTCTTTTTCTTAATGACTTGAGTTTTACGTAGTATTTAAATGCTCTTGTATCTCTACCCTGAGATCGTAAAGCTATTTTCCTCTGCAAGTGTAACTGTTATCTTTCACATTTAGATTTCTGTCCACTTGGAATTTATATTGTTGCATAGCATCATGTAGAAATACTTTCATTTTTTTAAAAAAAAATACATATTTTGAAAACATATAACATTTGCCAAATAATTTGTTATTTTCACAGTGATTTGTTTTGTCATGTCTGCCATGGCAGACTGTCTGTCAATTGGTAGGATCACTTTTGTTTTCAAGTGCTCCAGTCTCCTTGTGAGACCACCCAAGTCCACGTTCTCTCCACTATACACATTCCAGCCTTCCTTATCTCCTCACCATTAACTGCCTAAAAGACCCATCCTTAGAATGATGGTTAATGTTTGGACTACCTAAACCACCTCAGAACTAGTTCCATCAGGCCAGACATTTCTGTTTATCTCATTCTTTACTCAAAGTTTACACTTATAAGGTCACCACCATCAATACCAGACTCTAATCTTCATATGAATCTAATTCTTTAACTCCATTATAAACCCTTTCACAGTATCTTCTGGAACTTAGAGACTGTCATCAGCAATTCCTTATATCCATAAACTCTTCTTTGAATGCTCCCTTCACCCAACTTTCTCTACTAAAGCCTGACTCTTCCTTGAGGACGTTTTCTGTTTCCTTTGTTTCCTCTTCAAGTTTGCTAATTTTTTTTTTTCAATTACTCCCTTACTATTGGGCCTGGAGGTAATTTAATACCCTCCTTTCTCCTCTTTGCTGCTTCAGGACCTCTGTTACCCTTTCTACTCCATTGAAATATATGACTCTGACATAAGATTGATAGGTTTAGCAAATAAAAATGTAGGAAACAGACAAACTTGAATTTCAGATAAACAATACATATTAGTATAAATAGTCTTCATGCAGCCTTACTCCATCCAGTGTCATCCCCAACAATCCTTCCTTGTTGAGAAAGTTATCCTGTTTGTTACTCCATTTCTTTCACTGATGATATCAACCTAGCTTACTGTCTTTCTCCTTACTATTTCTTCTCTCATCATCCTTGATGATTTCATGATCCACATAGATGGATGGATGATCTCACATCTGTAATTTAATTTCTATTTCTTGGCTACCACCACACCTCAGCCACTCACTACTTTAATTAAACCCTTAACTTCATCATACTTATTACTGAGAAAAAGGCAATTGAAATGTTTAAAGAAGATAAATAAATGTTTTTTAAATCATAATAATCAATCATGTCTAAATAAAGTAAAATTCACTAAAATTTATCTTCCAATGTGAAATTTTAATCATATAAGTAAAATATATACAACAAATCTGTCTCACTATACTCGGCTTTATATTTGTATAGAAATATAGATATCACAAACAAGCAAAGATTTTTTTACAAATTACCTGCTTAGAAAATGTAGTTTTGACATAATATCTCCAGCATAATCTTCTATAATCTCAGCTTTCAGAGGAATGAGTCCTGATTTATGAATTTCTTGATTTGATCCTGGTAGTATTTAGGAATACAATTAATATTTGAACACCTAACTCTAATAATAATTTACCAATGTGATGCCAGTGTTTCTGGAACAGCAAAGGTAAACATTTTCACCATTTATTGCAAAATAAATAATACTTCAATAGAATTGTTGCAATTCAGGATGTTTACATTAAATCTATATTCCACATATTGTCACAAATGTAAATATATTGAGTGAACTGAAGTAGACTTCTATTTCAGCTGAAGTTGAATGCACTTGAGAAATAGAGTCAAGAAATCACTGTGCAATCCAGAAAAGACAAGTATTTGTTCTGACCCACAGTAAGAAATATGTCTATTTCTCCATAGACTAAAGAAAATAAGTTATAAAGCTTATAAAAATTTTCAAAATTTAATCATCAAAATTAATAAAATGAAATAGTAATAAAATAACTTCTGTATCTTTGATTAGTTGAAACTTAAAAGAACCTTTATATATTTAAGTATCAAATAAAATTTTTCCACATAAATAGGCTGGTCTAATCAGTCAACCACAATCCCCTGAGATCTACTTAAATACAAGTTGGTTTCTCCATATGAGCTTTAGCAAAATTTATACTTTTTGCAGAAAATATAGTAAAGATGCTATTACAAGATGTCCTCTATGCCTGACTATGGGGGCAGACAGACCTGGATTCAAATCTTCTCTTTATCATGAGTTTGCTATGCGATTTAAGCAATTTTCCCGGGATCTTCTCTGCTAAAGGACAATACCATGGGTAGCACTGTTTTGAAAACCAAACAGGAAAAATCACGTGAAGGGCAAAGCACAGTACCTGGCAGAATGGGTGCTTAGTAAATGTTAGCCCCCTTTCTCATGACCTTACTTTAAATAAATAAATAAGAAAACAAAAAAAAACAAACAAAGCAGTTAAAAGGTGAAGAAGCTACTGCAGTTATGGCAGCTAATCAGCAGGACTAACCCTGCAAAATGGCAAAACTTTAAAGGTCAGATTTATTTTCTAAACAAAGATTATACTGCTAATCTCTTTCTGTCCTAAATGAGATAAACTTTAAAAAATTGTCAGCACCTCCAGGCGATGTTTCCCTCTGTGTGAGAAATGGTCTGGACGTTGTCCTCAAGGGCATGGATCCACCAAAACCACCATCCCCTGATAATGTTAAGACTGTGTTCCACAACTTCAGATATTCTTGTATCAAAGTGTCACCCAATCCCAAGTTTAGCCCTATGTAGAAGAAGAAAATATATTTAAATTAATAGTTAAAGTCTGAGTGATAGTCACCATATTTTATGTTTTATGTATATGAATTATTTCATAAGTTTACATCTGTGAGTATCTCATCTTGCATGCTTAAAACAAAACAGAGTAGGCTCTGGCATATTTTCCTGTTTTAACTAATGTTATAAGAAAGCAAAAGTATCTTTGAACTTAGTTACTGGTATTGCTATATTTTTCTATCGCTGAGAAAACAAAACCAGATTAACAAATGAGAAGTCAGCCTATGGTTCCAATATGGTGGGTGAAGGAGTCAGAGAGTTGATATCAGGAGTTCTGAAGGTCACGGTGGGGGAAGTGGGGCAGGCTCCTGCACCACGCATCTTCCTCCTTCAGATAACCCTCCAACCTGACACTCCTTTTCCATTTTCACAGGAACGACACCTTGTCTGGAACAATCATCAGCAAAGCTGTGGTGCCATTTTATAGCATATGCAAAATATCTGATACATGAAAGATACACAATAAAAGGTAACACATCATGGTGTTCTAGGGGTAGCTCCTATAGTTTCCTTCAATTTAACTTCCCTTTTTTTCCAAATAGCTGACATTATCTCCTAGTTAGTTTTGAAAAACAGAATTCTTACCAAAGTCCTCAATGGAACCATTTATCTCTTGTGAAAATGCAGACTTTCCATAGAAAATATCTGCAAAGAAAGCTTCCTACTCAATTCTAGTTAATTGATGAATAGCTCATCCACATTATTTGTCAGATACAATTCTTACCCACTCACAAAAAAATGATTAGAAGACTTAACATACAGTTACTTAAAACATACCTCTACTATATTCAATTTCATAATAATAGGCAATATTTTTCCACAAAGTATTATCAGTTAAGTCAGGCAGGCCAGCGAAATTCACATTCCAATTATTTCCAGACTTTAATTGTTTTAGGATGAAAAATTCACATCTCTTTAGCTGGAAAAAAAAAGAAAACAAAAGAGGAGAGAGGTACATGTTCTAAGATACAAAATCTTTCCAGAACGTTCATGTCTTACTTAAGCTTCCCTCAACAGGATCTATGACTTATACTAAGAAAAAGGAGCTAGAGTAAATGTCAGAGCACAATGCCACTTTTCCTGCATTGACAAAATATATGACTGTGTGCAAATGACCTACCTTCTTTTCGCTTCAGCTCTTCCAACTCTAATACAACTTGGTTAACCTATACTCTCTAACGTACATTGCAGCTCTAAAACAAAATGATTCTTTTGAACTCATCACAATCAGGAGCTCAATAAATATTCTTTCATTGACTCAAAATAATAAAATCAATATAGAAAAGTAGTAGGTATTCCATTGTTATTGCTACAGAGTTTCAATTAAAAGTTGCTTCTGGCATCATTTCACAAGATAGGGCCTAAATAAAACACAATCACATATCAGGTGGGATTTCTTAAATATACGGTGGAAATGTCACCTGCATGCATAGTACCGTTGTACTGATAATGACTAGGTAATAAAATCAACAATATGTTGCTACAACCACACAACCATGCTTTAATTTATTGTATTATACAGTTTTCTCAATATTTTACGAAGGCATTGCTTTAGCTTTATGTAACTTGCACTCTGTGCTAAATTTAATGGGAATAATTCTACTTTTAGCAGGTTTAAATTATAATAAAAGAGATTATACAATGTTCTCTTTGCTTATTGTTCCAAAATGCATCTTTTTTCTTGGGCTAAGCTGTTAATCCAAAATGATATTGCAATAGACTATACAAAAATATCAAACTAAGAAGCACTGTGCTGAATATGGAAACCAAGATTTTTAAAGCTTCACAATAGTTGACAAATGACTTTTACATTCCTTTTTCTCAGTTTTAATTAATGATAAAGTATAAACATGGAATTTATGTAAATTGTTTATTCGTTACTTTACCGTATATACATATATATCAATAATAAGGATTATTATTTCTTGAAAGAAATTATATGATTGTTTGGAACTCTTCAGAGTATGGATTATTTTAGATGTAGTTGAAGTGTTTTTTCTTATTGGGTACTTTTATACATGACAAGACTATTTTTCCTAGAAACATGCATTGTTTGCTGGTAGCAATTTTTAAGATGCATACAAGAAAAAAAAGCAATATCAGAAAAGGCAAAGTATTACGCCTTCTAACTTTTGCCTTATTGAGTTTTAAATGTTTGTAAATTTCCATGTGGTTCCCCTACCATTAGTAGAAATGGTGCAAGTGTTCTGTCCCAAATATGAGTAATGATTCTACTCTTAGCTCTTTGAAACAGAGGTAAATGTTGAAGGAAAATCGCACTAAGGCAGAGCATTCTGCAAAGATCTGCTGCTTCATTTAATGTTGGTGGTTTCTTCAAGTCCTAGAAAGACATGAATTTAAAAAATATCAACCTACATATAGGCAATGTAAAAATTCAGATATGCAATAACAGTATTGTAAAGTCCCTTACCTATAACTTTCCCATATGATAAGTTTTTTAGAGTTATTTTATTTTAAGAAAAATTTTAATAAGCATACGATTTATTTTTCTAAACAGTATAGCTAGTTATTTTGTCTAGGAGGGAAGACTTTTCAAAATAGAGCCTCAGAATTCACTGTATCTAATACTTTCATTTTTTAAAATGGTGAAGGATGGTCATCTATTTGGAGGCATGTCTAGTATCTATTTATTTACAAGCTCAAAGCAGCAATACAAGGAGGGTGATAAAGCTTTTTATTGTCACTTCTGTTCCTATGTAGAAGAGCAGGCCTGAGTAGGAGATATGATTGTATACCTAGGCAATGTAGTCTAGCAGAATTAAAAAAAAAAAACAACTTGAGTTTCCATCCCAGCTCTGCCACTAATTAGCTGTTTGATTCATTTATCTATAAAGCAGAATAACAAGAATACCTAGCATGCTGAATGGTTGTAAAGATTAATGGTGATGTGTATGAGGTACCTGGCATTGGCACATCACACTCAATAAAAGTTAGGTGCTATTATTAATAGTAACATCAGTGCCGTTATTGGTATTCTTAACAGAAAACATGAGTTCTGAGCAACAGAGTAGATGGCTAGTTATCCAGGTTCATCTTGGTCACAGCCATAATCACTGCCACCAGCAACACCACTCCCTATCAGCCTTTAGAAAAACGAATTCTCCTGAGGGATGTCACCACCTGTACCTCGAAATTGGCCTGTGAAATTCTCAGCAGCAGTGATGATCAGCTAAGACAAGAATGAAATAGATCCTTATTCTTTGGTCAGAGAAGAAAGAGATGACAAATTCATTGCAGAAAAAAAAAAAAATCTTAACTTGTTTTGTAAAGAGCCCTGCATGCTTTCATAAGAATATGATCAATATATTTATCTCAATGTTTATTCAGCAAACATGTGACAAGCACATATTTTCTGTTTGATGATGAAGTTATAGCTACTACTCAAAAACATCGCCACATTTTTAAGAGTAACATTAAATAATTAAATTAATTTTTGAAAGAATCCCACCTGTGTGTTATGATTTTCTGTGCATGTGTTTTGGTTTTCACAGTCTTGTGCCTCATGTAACATTTTTTTATAGAGTATTAGTGCCACAGAGCATGAAACGGAGCAGACAACACTTCTAATATCAGCTCCTTCTGGCCACAGATTCTGAAGCAAGGACAAGGTTTGATGTATCTGCAATAAAAAGTTTCTTTAAAGACCTGGTGATTACAAGACACAAGATTCAAAGCTTATGTGTTATTTAACCCTAGAAAAAGAGGTTATATTTTTCCCATTAATAATATTAATGCCAAAATGTAATCTTTCAAAAAATTAAATAAAAATATAAAAGAAATGCTAAAGAAATGAACAGAACAGTTGGAAAATGTTTAATGGAAAATTAGAGTGAGGCTGTATTTAACGAGGTTCTAAATGCCATTTTAATATTAGTAACTATTTCTTTTCCTGATCTGTATACTCTCCAACAAATCTAAACAAACTGTGCCTAGTTTGAAACTCTCTGAATGATTAACCTGTAATTTCTTCAGTGTTGTTAGCTCAGACATTTTTCAATGGCCATTGAGGAAACTGAGATAAATACAACACAGTTACCCAATGTTTAGCAGCTATCTTCTCATAAGTTGATAATTATGAACTACTGCTACTGAAAGCATTATCGCTACAACCTCCGTACTTCAGGGAAAGTTGGAAAGGAGCAAGAAATTGAAAAATTCAGTAGGTAACTAGTCAAGAGCAAGAGGTATACAGTATACCTTAAGGTATAAGACTTAAGACAGTTTTCTCTGTCTGTGGCAGGGTATCACAGTCTGAACCAAGAAACTTGGCATCTCCTGAAAACTTAAAATGTTAATTAGATAAGTTACTTAACCTCATTCATTCATTTAAAAATGTTTGTTTACTCTTTTTGTGTGTGTATGTGAGGAAGATCAGCCCTGAGCTAACATCCATGCCAATCCTCCACTTTTTGCTGAGGAAGACTGGCTCTGAGCTAACATCTATTGCCAATCCTCCTCCTTTTTTTTTTCCCCCAAAGCCCCAGTAAATAGTTGTACGTCATAGTGCACATCCTTCTAGTTGCTGTATGTGGGACCCGGCCTCAGCATGACCAGAGAAGCTGTGCGTCGGTGGGCGCCTGGGATCCGAAGTAGCAGACGCATTTAACCGCTAAGCCACGGCGCCGGCCCTAAAAATGTTTGTTTAGTGTCTACATGTTATGTAGGGTTTGTAGGGGTTTTATTCTAAGATTGATAATACACTTTTGTAGAGTTTTGAGCAGAGAAATACCATGATATCAGATTTACATTTTTAAAAGATGGCTCCGATTACTTTGTAGGAAGTAAATCATAGGAGATCAAGAGCAGAAGCAGAAATACAAGTAGCTTAATGTATTCTAGTCTACTGCATTTGTCCATGCAAAAGATGATAGAGTTTCAAAATAATGTCATAGTGATGAAGATGGTATGAAGTTGGCAGGTTCAGGGTACGTAGTGACAGGGTTTACTGGTGGCTAGAATGTGGGATATGAGGGAAAGAATGAAGTCAAGGACAGCTCCCAAGTTTTTGTCCTGAACATCCATAAAGATAGAGATGTTATGAGGAAGACTCTAATGGAATGGGTTTGAGGTAAAGGTCGATGTAAGCCATGTTAAGTTTGCAACGCCTATTAAAAATCCATGTGAAGATGTCTGATAGGCTGCTGGATATGAGAAACTAAGTATCTTGTTCATAAGCATATTGACTCCAGACTCACATAACCCTCCTCACATCATCATATCATATCTAGTCTTCCGAAAAGAATGATCTATGGAGGGAAAACAATGTCAGGTAGTACGTCTGGAGAATTCAGAAGGGTGAAATAACCATTGATCTAGGTCACCTTCCTCATGAAAGAATCAATTATTTAACTTCCATTTACTAGCTACATAGATAGCTTTCCTTTCTAGAATACTGAAAAACTATCTTCTAAGCATACAGTTCCTCAGTGCTCACCCGTATAGTGTAAGAACAAAAGTTTGAGATCCTAAAATTATCACAGTAGTTACCTTCCGCCAATTTTACTGTATGTTTTATACAAATTCTTTTGTAGAAAATGTTTAGGGTTTTGTAATCAGTAAGTTTCGCAGGGCTTCCTCTGCCTCAATGCTGGGCAGCTTGAAGAACACATCCCAAAGATGCAAGTCTACATAATCAGTAAGGACATGAATGTTGGTAAAGGAAATGTCTGTCTTCTAGAAGCAACAGTATGCTTCCTAGACGCCGAACTTTAGTTTCCAAATAAATGTGTTGTTACCTCTTTCTGCATGTCTCCCAAGTTTAGTTTCAAATGACCATACAGAAATATTCCTGTTTCTTGTGACTTCTGGCAGTAGTCTATTATGTAGGCATGTAAGGCGTGTCGCAGTTGTTTTTCATGCTAAAAAACAAAACACGCAAATAAATCTTCTGGTTCAAAGAAAAATACGTATTGCAAATCTCTAGTTAAACTAAATACAGGGCGAAAAATAATGTTCATGATCATTTGACTACAGGAAAAAAAACAAAAAAAAATCCATTAATTCAAGTAAAATAGACTTTGGCTCCTTTGCTTGAACTATTTACTGCTGAGCTTATTAGAATAAAAGAAGAAAAATTAAAATGCATTTTTTTCTAACAAAACCAACCATTAAGTAAGTCTTAATAGTAGTAAAATCATTTTATACTGATCTATTATCTATTTAAAAAAAGAAAGAATATCGTGATATTCTCAACCCTTAGTATTCATAGCTACCTATTTTTAACGGATACAGCTATTCAAAATAGTTGCAAAAAAATACTGACAAATAAGATGATAAAATATTTTTTCTATCATCTCTCTTAATTTTAAAAGTGCGAATACAGGCAAAAAGCATCCCAGATCATATATATACACACACATATATACACATATATATGTGTATGTATATATAAAATATATACACACAAAAAATATACATATATAATATATAGGAGTATATAAATGAGTGTACACATGTATGTAAATGTGTGTATGTGTGTATACACACATACATGTAATTTGTGTACAAGACACTGCCAGAGAATTTCCCACTGTGGTCCTCACATGTCCTTGGTGTCTCTGAATTGTTCCTCCCCCTTGCCTCTTGTACATAAACTTAACCCATACTTTTCTTCCCCACCTCTCAAAATTGCCCATACAAAGGCTTAATCCACAAGAACTTCAACTAACCTCTCTTGCTAAAGCCATATAAAAAAATCTTGCCCTCTTTCCTCATGTTAGGGGAAAAGTCTTCTTATGCCCAGAATTTTCGAATAAAGACTTATGCTATTGGTTCTCTGATTCATTTTTCCCACATTCACATTGCTTATTTCTTCTGCACAATTCAATCTAACTTACCATTTCAAAAAACTGTCTGCGTGAATGGCAGCTTGAGGCACAGTACCCATAAATTCTAAGGACATCTGACTCTATTCCCTGAGGCAACACAATATGGATTTTATTCTTAAGAGAATGAATGATAAAAATGTTTAAAAAGTCTGTTTGACAAGGTGTTATTCCCATTTCTGAAACAGTTAGGAAATGTGGATAACATTCTTCAAGAAATAGCTCCCATTCTGGAGACAGACAATTGGAAAATTCTGTATGAATAGTGACGTCAGTATTGTATTCTAAATGCTGAATCAATGTGGTATGAAGGGCCAGAAGGTCTGGGTAATTAAGATACATATTTTCTGCGTCCTATAGAAAAAGGAAACCAATGTTAGTATTAGAAATAGGAATAACGGTAACTATTTGTTTTTCTAAAGATTAGTATTGTGCATAAATTGTTATATTAATATGACTCGAAGAGTTAAGAATTTCAAGATGAATAAATTATATTTTTCTGCATCCTGTAGAAATATCACATAAATACTCATTAGCTATTTTCCTATTAATAATACTTGGTATTATTCCTATTAGTAGAGATTTTTTTTTTAATTTTTTTGTTTATTGCAGTAACATTGGTTTATAACATTGTATAAATTTCAGGTGTACATCACTATACTTCTATTTCTGTATAGATTACATCATGTTCACCACCCAAATCTATTAGTAGAGATTTTAATTACAAGCTGAAGAAGCAAAATATCTAAAAAAGTATAACTGATCAAATTTTAAAATGATTGAATATGTTTTCTTAGACTCTATGAAATGAGAATTTTGTAGACTCTACAAAATAAATGTTTGTTACCTTAAAAAAAACTATTACAAATTTGGCTTCCTTGTGAATGAAATCATGCAGAAATTTTTCCACAATATAGAAGAAGTGAAGACTTTGTCCTTGTTTCAAGTTCACATTAAAAACACATGTGATGAATAATGAATCTCCATCAATCAAAAAAAATTCAGACTCAACAAAGTCTTTACGTAAGCTTATCATTCTGAATAAAAATATAAAACACATAATGCAAATATTATAAAAATAATAGCAGCTTGAGAGAAAATTCCACAGTTCAATTGGTTACACAAATTTTCTTCTAATTTAAGAAAAGAATTTAAAGAAAAACTAACCACAAGTTTCCATTATATTTAAGTAACCATTTTCCAGGACATTCCTATTATTCTGTGATAGAATAAACTCCTAATTAAAAATCTGACTGATTCTATAGTGACATTGAAACTCATTGATGTAAGCATAAATTTATGCAAAAAAGTACATCTCTATATTTTAAATTTAATATATTATATAAATATAAATATTTATATAAATATAAATATATATATAAATATAAATAAAACTTGAACTTCAAGTGTGAAAAATTAAATCAATCATTATCCTGGGTCAATTATATCTATGGAACAATCTCGTTTTGCTTTTTAAATTAATATATAATGAACAGCTGTGAACTCTTCGCCCAGCCCAAGAAATAAAAGACTTTTCTATAACTTACATCTACCCTTTGAGCTGTTTCCAAAATTCATCTCCCCTCAGAGGCAATCACTGTCTTTAATTTAGGTTTTCATCATTCTCTTGCTTAATTTTTTAAGTTTTTATAATGATATATGTATGCCTAATTTTGAATCTTTATTAAAAGGACAACATCTTATATGTGTTTTCTGGAATTTACTTTTTAAACTTAATTACCAATTAGTATGGAGATTCTAGCATATGGTTACAGGAAACTATACTTAAATAACTTTAATGCTGTATAATATTCTATTATATGTCTACACTACAATTTATTCTACATCCTTCTCATTTCAATGGGCATTTGAATTGTTTCTTTCATTTTTGGCTGTTACAAAACTGTGCTGCAATGATCATTCTTGTGGATGTTTCCTAATGCACAGATGAAACACTAGGATATATTCATACACATGGAATTACAGTCACACCTCACTTACCGACAGGGATGGTTCTGAGAAATGCATCGTTAGGCGATTTCATCCTTGTGTGAACATGAGAGGGTGTACTTACACAAACCTAAATGTATAGACTATAGACTGCTACACATCCAGGCTATAAGGTACTAATCTTATGGGACCTCAGCGGTATATTCAGTCCGTCGTCAACCGAAACGCTGTTCTGCGATTCATGACTGTACTGATTTGTACATTGTAAGGTAACACCAAATTGTTTTCCAAAGCAATTGTATAGAGTTCTATCTGCATTAACAGATGTCAGATATTCAATTTATCTACATCATTTCCAATACCTCGTGTTGTATAAAAAAAATGAACTATAGACTTTCTCCTAACTTTTAATTTTTTAAAAATTTTTTTGGTTTTTTTGGCTAGGATGTGGGGAACTACTACATGCTGCTTTAAAGAAATTAAAACACTGTAGAAACATGTTAATTTACTGTTGTATATTCTTTTAAAATTTACTCTTTGCATATTCTAACCCATAATGTAGTGGATTGGGCTCTGGAGTCGGATGCCCAGGTTAGAATCCTGGATCTATCGTTTACGAGTTCTGAGACTTTCGATTAGTTGCTCATCTACCCAGTGCTACAGTTTCCCCACTTGTAAAGTGGGAATTAAAAGCAGCTAATTCTTCATGTGGTTGTTGTGAGGAGTAATGAGATAAATATCTATAAAATGATTAGAACCAAACTATGCTTAAGTCATAACATGTGCTTAAAATATGCTTATTATAAATCATGTTTTGGGTTTTTTATTTTGTAATTGTGTGCAATTGGTATTATAGTATATCATTTTAAGTTATTTTAGAAAATTTGAATGTGGAGATAAACACCATAAGATTTGACTTAATAAATCACCTATAGCAGGATACATTTACTTTCTTTATCATTGTATCCCTAGCGCCTAACATATTAACAGGCATACAAACACAACAATTGAGGGAATGAAATACGCATTGGTTTGGTGTATTTGTCCTTGATGATATCACATAATGTTTAGGTATTATTCAAAACATACAAAAACGATTTTATGAGACTTGCATAATATTTTGACATGAAATACAATGCCAATTAAATTACTGCTTTAGTTTAGTGCAATATTAAAAGAAAGTGAATCTTTCCTCCACTTATACCTTTCTTCAAAGTTTTCAGTATCTTATTCTTGCTACCAAATGAAAGCCATATACCATAACCCTTCCCAAAGAAAGAAAATATTTACTTATTTTCAAAAATATTAATCTCTTGCCACATTGACAGTTTCTAAATCTGTTACTTCTAATAATATATTATTTTGAATAATTTGTGTTGTATTTACTTAGATTTGACAGAGTTTTCCAAATCGACAATGAGAGCTTCCTCAGAATTCCTTTACATTCGGTTAATCCTTTAAAAATAAATAACAGAGGTTAAATACTCAATTTTAAATTAATTTTAAATAACATCTGTTGCTAACTTTAAGTATACTTATATTTTATACAAGACTGTATATACATGGCTGAAATATTCAGTAAGTATATTAAAATATAAATAGATATGTTAAATATGAGAGCATGCCTACACTACTTACTGTAAACAATTGTTGGCAAGATAAGCCAAATCTTTCAGTTTTGAAATTGGATTTTTCATACTCTAAAACAATAAATTCTCAGTTGCAAATGAATATTAATGATATACATGAATTTCAACAAATCTACAAAGACAAAAATATACAGAAAACTGGAAAATTGCCACTTCTAAAATTAATTTATATGGAGAGACATATACTGATTGATAGATATCTTTATATGTATATAGATAGCAATAGAGTATCTCCTTCAAAAGTTCTCTCACTAAAGATAAACCATAAAATTGTAAATTCTGTACTTTTTCTACTCTCCCATATATTAAAAAAAAGAAAATTGATCTAATTCTTTGAAATAAATTTATCTGTAATATTCCACGTCCTTGTTGAATGCATCTTATCAGGAAATTAGGGATTGGAAAGGGAAAAAAAGGTCATCTACTCAGCATGTGAGGTCTTAGGAAAAAATATGAAGCAGTAATATTAAAATTAACCATAAATTTTTTGGAAATTTTGTTACAGCATAAGTAGTCTCTCATACTGTTATGATTGATATTAAGTAACTGAGTCCTCCAGTAACTGCTTCTTCTTCCAAGAGTGTGAATTTGTGCATAGTTGAGGGGTGTTAGGTATTATAAAACAATATTCAAATATTATGAGGTCCCTAGACATGCCCGTATATTTTAACATGGAATATCATGCCAATTAAATTGCTACTTAGCCAGATTTATTAATAATAGATGGCTCCTCACTCCTAAAAGCTACTCTGGAATTAATTAACCAAACAGTAAGGCTAACCTTGGGTGTAGATTTTTATTTTCATTAATCCTGCTACCAGGTCTTAAATTTTGCTTATTAAGAGCCTACCTAGTTGGTTGGAGTAATGTGAAAATATTCATTTGGAAGAATATTTTAAAGTTTTATTTCAATTGCATCAATAATTTTAGAAATACACTATTTAAGTTGGTGTACTGTTCTTTTATGTATTTTTATTTTCGTTTGTAAGTAGGAAAGAAATATTTGAATTTGAGTTTAGGTAAATTATTAATAGTTGCTTTGGGTAAATGTTATTCATACACCATCTAGATGAAGAATGGGAAAAAAAAAAATCCAGGTAACTTAATCAAGGTAAAAATAAAAGATGGTTGGTGATTGAGGAACTCTAAATTTCAGTTGATCTTTTTTGGGGGGAGGGCAATGATAATTTTAAAATACTGAAAAGTATAAAGAATAATTTAAAAACATCTCCATACCGCAACATTGGAACTGGTAAATGTTGAAACTATTCATTTGCTTCAAATTTATTTGTTTTTTGTGTATGTGTGTGAGGAAAATCAGCCCTGAGCTAATATCCATGCCAATCCTCCTCTTTTTGCCAAGGAAGACTGGCCCTGAGCTAACATCCATGCCCATCTTCCCCCACTTTATATGGGACGCTGCCACAGCATGGCCTGACAAGCTGTGCATTGGTGCGTGCCCCGGATCTGAACCCCGGCTGCCAGCAGCGGAGTGAGCATACTTAACCGCTATGCGACGGGGCCGGCAGCCAAATTTATTAGTTAAGGAGAAATAAACATTATAGGTATAGTTGAATG